GTTCTACACACTGAGCCGGGTCCAGGCCTGTCCGTCTTACCAGTCCCCAAGTCTTAGACTCCTTCCGGTGGTCTCTCACTTTTCTGACCCTCCAAAGCCGCCTCATTTCTAGCACCAGGCCTGGTCTTCAGAAAAATGCCACAGGCTGGGTCAGCCCGGAGCCGAAGGCCGGAAACACACTCTGGCCTCCCTCCTGGGGGGTGGTGTGCTCCCCGGCCACCAGGGACAGCGATGGGCTGGGAAACCCTCAACTCTCCCAGGGTGTTGCTCCTGGGCCCGGCAGGAAGCCAGCCCTGGGTTGTCCCTGAGATTTCCTGCCTCCGACGCTTCTGCYGCAGAGAAGTCCTCCTGCAAAGGGGTGGCCAGCCTGCAGCTTCTGAGAGTCACTGGGGTCCCACATCATCCAGGTCCTCTGCTGGAAAGAGCAACTGGGGCTGGGGGTCGCTTCCCATGCCCAGAGGAGCCAAAGACTTCTCCTAAAACTCAGGAACGACTCGCCAATCCAGGAGGGCTCCCGCGTGGGTRCAGACTGCCTTGGCATTTCCTGTTCACTCAGGAAAGCATCTGTGGGACTCCCCTGTGTGCAGGGAGGGGACAGAGGGGACTGAAACCTCAGGGCGTCACAAGTGCCCCCCTTGGTCTTCTCCCAAGCTCATCCAACGCCTCCTAGGCACCAATTTTTTAAAAAAGTTTATTTTTTTTTGGGGGGGGTATATCAGGGATTGAACTCAGGGGCACTCGGCCACGGAGCCCCAGCCCCAGCCCTATTTTGTATTTCAGAGACAGGGTCTCACCGAGTTGCTTAGTGCCTCGMTTTTGCTGAGGCTAGTTTTGAACCCGTGATCCTCCTGCCTCAGCCTCCTAAGCTGCTGGGGTGAGAGGCGTGCACCACAGCCCCGGCTTACAGAAAGTTTCTCATGCACAGGCACAGCCAGCACATACCATGGTTTCTAGGTACCAACCCCAATAAAAAGAACCAGSGTTCCCCTGGAGCACATTTGAGCAGCCACATACATAGTGTGGCMTGGACCATCATGGGCGTATCCATGAGTCCGCGTTGACAGACATAAATGGCGGGATAAATACTTAAAAGYGGGCAAAGGAGATGGCTGTCTTCCTTAAGACTTGAAATAACATGGGCGGRTGCTCCTGACCCCGACCCCTGGGCCCGGGCTGGACCTGGGTGGCTCTTCTGAAGTAGACCACAGGGAGAAGGAGAAAGACTGACTGACGGTGGAGAAGCCGCAGACACAGAGGCACACTCCTCAGGGACGGACGGCGCAGGACCTGCAGTGCTCCACTGTGGGGGAGCAGAAGGGCACCTCGCCTCAGGGAGCTTTCTTCCCAGAATCCACCATCTCCAGCCGACCCTGAGAAAACACCGGACAGACCAGAATCCCAGAGTACTTGTCTGMTATGTGTAAAAGTATCACGGCCTCCAAAACCCAGGAAAGATTGGGCAACCGTCAGACCCGGGAAGACGGAGCAGATGGAGAACTGGATCTTGGAACAAGAAGGCAGGAGAGGGTAAACTGGCGAAATCCAACTAAACCGGGGTTGAGTTGGTAGCAACGTGTCCTGTGGATTTCTTGGTTCTGACAGGTGCCCATCACAAATGACTTTGTCAGATGTTAACCTGAGGGGAACCGACCGAGTCAAGGGAACAGGGACCCCTGAACCATCTCTGTCACTTTGTCTTCTTAAAATTCTAAATCTATTGCAAAATCAGGAGCTTAAGAAAAGCATTTCCTCTTGATTAAAAGGAATGACGTTCACCTTAGAAGGTTTGTAAAAATTCACAAATAAAACCCAGCTGTTGCTCACCGTGCACTCCCTAGACATTCTGGTAYGTGAAGTGCAATCTTTTTTACTTTTTGGTACTGGGGCTGGAACCACAGAGCCACATCCCCAGCCCGTTTTTGTATTTTATTTAGAGACAGGGTCTCACTGAGTTGCTTAGCGCCTCGCTTTTGCTGAGGCCAGGTTTGAACTCGCCATCCTCCTGCCTCAGCCTCCCTAGCCGCTGGGATGACAGGCGAGCACCACCGGGCCTGGCCTTCAATGCCACCTTGCTTGCTGTGCTCTCCGCACCCCCGAGGACGGTCCTAGTCGCCGTCTTGCACCCCAAGCCTTCAGCCCTGTCCCCTTCCTCACTTCAGGCTCTGGACTGGCCCGCGCTCCCCGTCACTTAGCGGCTCTCTCTCTCTCTGCCCTGGGACCTGACGTCGGGGTCTCCCATGATCTAAACAGAACACTACTCTGGCTCYGCACCTGGGTTTTCTTCTTTTTCTTTTGAAGTAGAACCTTAAGGAAGACATTCACAAGTCCAAGGCTGTGGACAGGACTAAGGTTCTGGATGGTGATGGCGAACTTCCTCTCCMAAAGCGCGCGCCCGGGTGTCCACTCGCGCGGTGTCCGGGACACCTGCTTCCTAGGGGCCGGCGGCTTCTGACCAAGGCCCTGCAGGACCAGGCTCTGCAGCCCCCGCCCACGGTGCCCCGGCTCCGCCCCTTGGGGCTCTGCTCCGCCTCTGCCCCTTCCTCCTCCGGGCCCTGCGCCGGCCCAGATCCCAGCGTCGGCTGACCTCTCGCCCTCTAAGACCCCCGGAACCAGCTCGCGGTTCTGGAAGCTTCGCTGTCCTCTGCCCCGACGCGGCCGCCCGGCTCTTCTTCCTCTTTCCGCGTTTTCATGGGTGCGCAGTAGTTGGGCAGAGTGGTGGGTCCCATCGCCCCCTGGCCACACACTACAGCCCGATCCGATCCGGCCAAGGCCGCTCCCGGGACCTCCCCTCCCCGCCCCCCTCCCCGCCCCGCCCCGCCCCCCCCAGGTCCCTCCCAGGACCTCCCCCCGCCCTTCCCCCCTCCCTCTATGGACCTCCCCTGAGCTCCCTTGGATCTTCATGAGACCCCCCCCCCCGTCTTTCGCTTCCTTTCCCCCCCTCTAGCTTCCACAGGAGAGCCACAGGTGACCTGGTTTCACTTGACATAATGGCCTCAAGTTCCATCCAGGTCCCTGCAAGTGACCTACTTTCATCCTTCTTCGTGGCGGAATGAAACCCCAAAGTGCGCCCAGCCACACTGTCTTTCCCTGCTCCTCTGCTGACTGACCCCGAGACGTCCCTCCCTTCCTGCTAGCACTCCTCCTGTGGACGCCCACCTTTGCTTCTTGTGCACCCCTGAGGGGCTCTGGGCTGCTCCTCCTGTTGACTCGTGACTGCAGCCCAGTGCCCTGCGCACGCATTTGCTAGTCCCRGCTTTAACGCCCTGGGTGTACACCTGGGGCGCAACTGCTGGCTGGTGGGTAGTTCATRTTTAACTTTCTGAGACGGCGGCACTTTTCCTCAAAGCTTCCCACGGCTCTACCTGCCCAAAGAATTGATTTTGCCAGGCGCTGTGGCGCAAGCCTGTACCCACAGTGGCTCAGGAGGCTGAGGCAGGAGGATCCCAAGTTCAAAGCCAGCCTCAGCAACTTAGCCAGGCCCTAAGCAACTCAGCGAGACCCTGTCTCTAAGTACAGAAAAAGATTAGGGATGCGGCTCAGTGGTTAAGTGGCCCTGAGTTCATTCCTGGAACCAAAAAAATTTTTTAAAAAGTTTTTGCCTGTTTTCCCTCCTACAATTTATAAAACACCCTATCAAAGCTCGGATTCAAGCCTAGGACTTCTGACTCCAAGTAACAATGATTTTTATTATTATTTGCACTGCCCCACGTGCTGCCAGTCACCTCTACCACTGACCTCTTTTCATAAATGAGGTGCCCAGGTTAGGCGCTTGTTCAAGGCTATCGGCACCAGGTGATAGAGCTGGGCTTTGGATTCTGAGTTCCGACCGACTTTGTATTTCTAAGGGGACAGACAGGGAAGAGGGACGGGCGGGAAGGAGAGGGAGGGGACTCTCATTTCTGGGGATTCYCGCAGCCTTGCAAGTCCCCAGGCTCCCACCGGAGGGAACATCGTGAAGCATGTGAAGCAAGAAAGGAGTCCCAGGATCTTTGATTTGGGCACATTTATTTGGGCTCTTTATATATACATGTACATATACTTCTTTTTCATGATAGGAGGAAAGGGAGTAAGTGACACTTTATTTCGGGGTCTTTTCAAACTGTATGCCCTTAACAAACCCGAGCAGAGCAGGCGCAAGGGCTGACGGGGGCCGAGCAGGTGTGGCCCATCAGGCGGGGCGTGCTGGGGAAGGCCTTGCGCATGGACATGCACCTCTCCTTGTCGATGCACAGGGTGTTGGCCTTGATGGCCAGCTCGTGCTCCAGCCGGGACTTGGTCATCACCAGCAGCTGTATCGTGTCCTGGGTCTCTCGCAGCCTCAGCTTGAGGGTCTGCAGGGTGTCGTCAATGGTGAACACCTCGTTCACGAGCCTGGGGAGAGGGCAGGGGGAAGGGCCAGGTGGGTTGGGTCCTTCAACACAGACGCACCCACGATGGGCAGGAGGAGGGCTGGTGTGGGAGTCTGCAGTGATGGGGGAGGGCTGGTGTGGGAGTCTGCAGTGATGGGGGAGGGCTGGTGTGGGAGTCTGCAGTGAAGGGGGAGGGCTGGTGTGGGAGTCTGCAGTGATGGGGGAAGGGCTGGTGTGGGAGTCTGCAGTGAGCAGACTGCAGGCTGAGCCCTGGAGGGCAGCACAGGGAGGAGGGTTGCCAGGGGCCATGTGAAGGAGGAGGGCTGGTGTGGATTCTGCAGTTAAGGGGGGAGGGCTGGTGTGGAGTCTGCAGTGAAGGGGGAGGGCTGGTGTGGGAGTCTGCAGTGAAGGGAGGAGGGCTGGTGTGGGAGTCTGCAGTGAGCAGACTGCAGGCTGAGCCCTGGAGGGCAGCACAGGGAGGAGGGTTGCCAGGGGCCATGGGCATGAGGAACAGGACGGTAAGCAGAGGCTGGGAAAGCAATATGGAGGCTCCTGGTAAGTTAAACATGGGCTTTCTATGTGGCCGGCAATTCCACTGTTGGCCTGTAATCAAAAAACTGAATACAGTGTTTGAACCAAAGGTATAAATTAGCCCCGCTGTTCACTACACCAGGGGTGGCAACTGTACTCCAGTGTCCATTCACAGTTGAATGGCATGGCTGTCCTAGGAAATGGCATTCAGCCATAATTAAAAGGAAGTTTTGTTATGGCATCTTAAATAGGATTCTTGCTATTTGGAAATAGGGCCTTTGCAGACATCGTTCACTTACGGATCTTAAGATAAGCTCATCCTGGATGTCAGATGGGCCCTACATCCAAGGACAGATCTCCTTGTAAGAGACAGGAAGGGCCTTCCAGGGATGGAGGTGCCCAGGAAAAAGTGTGAAGATGGAGGCAGAGACTGGGGTTGTGGCATCTCCCAGAATCCCAGGAGAGGCACTGCACCCTGCCCCACACTCATGGGCTCCCCTTCTGGGCCACCATGAACGTTCCACCCCCTCCCATGTCCACAGAAGCAGGCCTCCTCAGCTAGGCAGGACGGGGGACTCCACCCAGTGAGGAAGGAGGACTCCACACAGTGAGGAAGGACTCTAGCTACCCCAAGGCCTCACAGGTGAGAATTGTACAGGAGGGAGGTGGGAGCTCAGGGAGGAGGGAGGTGGGAGCTCAGGGAGGTGGGAGGTGGGAGCTCAGGGAGGGGGGAGGTGGGAGCTCAGGGAGGGGGGAGGTGGGAGCTCAGGGAGGGGGGAGGTGGGAGCTCAGGGAGCTCAGGGAGGGGGGAGGTGGGAGCTCAGGGAGAAGGGAGGCCACCAGGGCACCAGTTCTACCTGGAGGGCTAATTTCTCCTCAGCTTTCTGGGACAGCGAGGTGTCCTGAGCACAGAGCACAAACCCCTGGTGATAAGTGATCCGTGCCAGGCAGGGAGGGGAGTGCCGTGGAGCAGGACAGCGGGCTGGACTCACGTCTGGTCTCCCTGCACCACGTACGCACACTGCCCAGTGTGGGCTGGAGGTCCTGTTAGCTCCAAGATTCCTGGGAGTCCTGCGACCCACCCCTCCCCTCCCCAGGTCCCCAAGTGTCCCCCCAGCCCACCAGCACCACTCACTTGAACTGCGGGATGTCCCTGCACAGCTCCACGTTGGGGCGCCGGTTCCGGCATGCCAGCCTGGTCTGCGCCACCTTCAGCGGGCACTCCTTGGCTATGATGGCCCTCTCCAGCAACATGATGGTGTTCTCCGCTTGGAAGATCTCCTGCAGCGTCTGTGGGGACCAGGGGTCATCACCACCCATGGGACTCGCTGGCCTCCTCCCACTTTGGGCCTGCAGGGAGCTAAGGCCAATCAGGGAGCCTGAGGAAGTGCTTAATGACTCCTGCCCCAGCCCTGGACCCTGGTGGTGAGGGTCCTCACCCTAAGAGGTTCTTGGGGAGCAGGTTTGGCACCTCTGGCCACCACAGCCCACACTGTGAATGCTGGGGATGGGCAGTGCCGAGATTCAAGGTCTTGCCTTGAATCTCCAGTGTCCATGGATGCAGCCAGTCAGTGTTCGGTGGGAAGACAGGGAAGGGGGGGTTGAGGATTGACATGGAGGAATCAGAACAGCCGCTCATCTCCAAGGCTGTTTTCATGGGAATTAGTGTGGGCTGCTCCGTGTCTGTTTCACAATCTTATTATCATTCCCAGTAACTARGTCAGTAAGTGGAGAAGAAGGAGAGAAACCTTTCAGTTTATCCACAGAAACATTTCACCCACTCACATGCCACCCTTGTGCCCTACAGTTGGGGAAGTTCAGATCCCAAGCAGGGGCGGAGGAGCCTGCTGGGGTGGGCCGCCCTGAGTCTTGTCCTGCGTGGAGGTTCTGCAGGTAGGAACCCGGGAAGAACGAMCTCATCAGCACCATGTGTCAGGCTGTGCTCCTGATAAGAAGCCTGCTGGATCTCCAGGGAAGAGGCAAGGAAAGTCAGAACAAGGTAGTCACAAGGAAAGATTGGAAAAGGGCTGTCACTTGTGTTGGGACAYGGGAGTCTTCTGAGTGATTCTCTCTGCTTCTGTGTCTAGGAAAATTTCCACAACARAGAACGAGAGCGCTGCTAAAGAATGGGCACGCCCGGCCAGCCCGGTACCAGGAGGACCCAACCTTGCACCTGGCCCCCATGAGCACCCCAGGGACGGAGCCCACACACTAAACAGACGGCATACACACTGCTGTCACCCAGTGGCCYAGCTCTCCGAGCAGCTATATTTTCTGCAAGGAGGCTCTTGGTGGGAGGGCTGTGCTGGTAGGACCCCATGGTGAGGACCCATGTCCTGACATGCCGAGAGGTGGCACCCAGCCAGAGGGGCCCAGAGCCCAGAAGGAGGTGCAGATATTATCCATTATCAATTTCACTTGGCCCAGAGATCAATAGCATTTAAGAAGCCCACTCACCGGCTCCCCCAGTCACAAGAAGTTACTGGGATTACTGCTTGAGACTGGCCTGCCATTCTGTGGGGCATTCACTCTCTGTGCCCGCCATTTTGACACCAGACAACAACCAGTGAATGCCTTTTCTATTTTGACTGTTGGTACAATAAATGAGGAGTATGCATTCAAAGAAACCATGATGGAAACCCTATGAGGAAATTCCCATCAGCAAAGTCATGGAGGTCTGGAGAGAGAGACAGAAAGGCCAGAGAATGAGAAAAGATCGATGACATCAAAGAAACCAGTGAAACTACAGGACACCCAGTTAAATCTGAATTTCAGATAAACACCTCACCACTTTTCAGTGTGTGTCCCACGGTGAGCCAATTGGATGTGTTCTCCCAAAATTCACGCAATGGAACCCTAATTCCAACGTGTTGGCACTGGAAGACGGAGCATTTGGGAAGTGATTGGGTCATGAGAATGGCGCCCTCGTGAACAGGGCTAGTGCCCTCGTAAGAGGCCAGAGAGCTACCTCCATCTCTTCCACCATGAGAAGTCGGCCCCCAGGGGAACYGGCCCAGCTGACACCCTGTGGTGGACTTGGGCCTGTGGAACTGTGAGAAATAAATGTCATTGTTTATAAGCCTCCTCCTCCGTGGTACCTTGTGATAACTCCCCCACAGACGAAGACATCGCCCACCGCGTGAGGTAGAGTGACCTCAGGATGATTGATTGTCGACCTGATGCTGAGGGTTAACGGGGTGTCCTGCATTTTCATTTGCTGAAYCTGGTAAGCCACAGTAGTAGCTAGATAAACCCTGACTGCATGATTGGCTGTGGGATCTGGAAGGCTGCATTGTCCACCACTCCCCAACGGTTCTTACGCACATGAAAATTTGGGAACAGTCTGCCCCCCCAAATAATTTGGACCTATATTCCTAAGGTTTTGGGATAGGAGAAAAGTGATTCCACATGAACGTGCCGGCGCTCCGGAGTGGGGTCGGACCGTGMGGACAACCCCCAGGCCCTGCCTGTACGGATTCTCCAATCACGTTCCTCCCCCTTATCGAAGCTGTCGAACATTCACAGACACCTGAGGATGGCTGTTTCAGTGAGTCAGAGGCACATGCTGCAGGCACCAAGAAATGGCTTAAAAGACAATTTGTCCAAGTGTGAAAGCCCTGGCTTCCCTGTCGGCTGAGGAGAAGAGCCCAGAAAGAGGGTTCTGACACCTCGCGAGCACGGAGAGGCCTGTTTCTCGGGAGTGAGTGGAGACGGCGGCTGAGCTAGGAGTGGGCGGAGGCGGCCCAGCCTCCTCCACGGCACACCTGGGCGGGAGGCTGCCCCACCCAGCTCCCAGGGAGCCCCCAGAACARAGTGAGCCCTCGATGGTGGAACGTGGCCCTAGAGTGGGCCCCTGTGGCCCAGGGTGTGGGTGCCACGTGAGCACTTCTCCCCTCCTGGAAGTCCTGGGGACTTTCCTGGGAATCTTGCCCTTTGGGGAGGGCTCTGGGGGACGTCAGAGGTCCCCTGGGCCTGGTGTGGGGGAACATGCGCCTCACATAGCTGACAAGTGCTCCGTGGTGTCCCCGGCCCAGTGCTCGTCTTGTGGGGGGACCAGCCTGCACCCCTCCATCTGGACGTCCCAGGGCTGGGGTGGAAAGGGGGACATGGCTGAGGCTGCCCTCCCTGGGCCTCCTTCACGGTCCTCGCCCTTGGTGCCCCRCTCAGGGCTGGGCAGCCTCACCAGGGCCTGGCGCTCTAACAAGGCCTGGTCCTGGGCCAGGGAAGGGCGTTCCCGCAGGTGCTCTGTCACCAAGCCCAGGGCTCCTGGTGTGGGCCCTCCTGAGCAGCAAGCAAGGATCTGGGTGGAGGGTCCGCTGGGACAGGCACACAGTCCCCTCCTGGTGGCCTTTACGTTGTCCACGTTTCACTTTYCTTTGCTCCTTTAATGCTGTGGACGCCTGCAACCTCCCACGTGGCGGGACGCCGCCCTCCTCCGCCTCAGCAGCTCACGTCCCTTCTCCCTGCTGTTGTCCCTCTGGTGTGCCGCACACGGGTGGGGGGCACTCCAGGCCTGAATCCCCTGGCGGGTGCAGCCACACCGGACTGCCCATCCAGGTGCTCCGGGCCAGGCCGGCACCGGGACCCTCACGTGGACATCTCATGAGAGGTGCAAATCAATCCTCTGCGGAAGGTTCCAGCAACATTCCCTCATTCTAGATGAGGAACGTGAGACCATTATCTCTGGCCACTTGCTCTTCAAACCTGCCGGCCACACCCAGGTCGTCTCCCTCGAGGGGCAGGAGCAGCCGTGGGACCGCCAGGCTCCTTGGCGACAGGCTCTGACGGAGTGCTCACGGTCCGCCGGGCCTTGACAGTGTCTCTTCTAAATAAATGTATTTTTTAAAAACTTGAAGTGACATTTAAACCAAGGTGCCCGTAAGTCCTGGAGCACCGGGTACGGCAAAGTCGAGGGGACACTCCAGAGAGGCCGCATTTGGGAAACCCCAAGTCCTGCTGGGTGTCCCCAGAAGATCCAACGTGCAGGAGAGGGAGCACKTCGGAGCTGGGGAGGGCCCTGGTGGTGCCCAGGGAGGGCGGGTGCTGGGCCCAGGGGGACCGTCTGCAGCTTGCGCCCCCATAGCCCTCGGCAGCACCTCTGGAGTGAACCCGTCTGAGGGTTTTCCAGAACCTCGGGGTTTTCCACAACTGGCTGCTCTAGAACCATCTGGTGACGCACACCCCCAGCCCAGGCCGCAGCAGGTGTGAACACTGCCCAAAACATTCCCGTCACCTCTGTCAGCCCCATCACTCAGAGCCAGGGCCATCCTCATCAGAGGGGAGCTCCCGCAGCCAGCCCCAGTCCTGAAAGCCGGGGGGCTCCAGAGCTCCAGAACCTGAGGAGAGCGGCCCCCACCTCCAGGCCAGGAGCAGACCACTGTGTGGGGTGACCAGGGACAGCAGCCKGGACCTTCTGCTGAGGAGGAGGCCAGCAGGACCCTCATCCCGAGTGGCCTTTTTGGAGAGCGAGTCAATGGGACCAGACCCTCCTTGGGGACCTGCGCGTCCCTGTGAGTCAGTCCTGGGTATACACTGTAGGAAACTGTCACCCGCGACCCCCAGGTCACACACGTTCCTCGCAGGGTCGCCCCTGATGGGCAGCCAGCTGACAGCCACCGGGTGCCATGACTGTACGCCTCCAGCGCTCCATGAGGAGGCTCAGCYGGCCCGGCCTCGGCCCTGGGCCTCTGGAAGGAGCCGGGTGAGGAGCCCAKGCACAAGACCACACGATCCCTCCTGAAAGCATTAAGTATCTGCCAAACACCACGCACGCGGATGAGGACACAACTGCRCCCAGAGAGCCGCGGGACGATTACACGGGGCGTCCTGGGAGAAAGAGTGACCAGGCCACCCGGTGAGGAGACAGGGACAGGTGAGGGAGAACCCAGACGGACTGCACACTCCTCCATCTTCACGGGGCTCGGGAGGCAACTCCCTAAGAGATTCAAAGTGTCCTTCAAAAAGAATGTCCTTATTTTTCAAGGGAGGATTTTGAAAGAATACCATCCAATGGTAAAGGCCATTCCCAAGGCTGGCGGCCGGGGGGACACTGGAGTTAGCACTCCTGCAGCCCCGCCCGCCCACCCGCGCCGCTCCTGCTGTCCAGGGCCTGGGCTGCGGCCTGGGCACCSGGACTTCTCAGACCCTCCGGGGTGATGCAGCCAGGGTCAAGAACCAGGGGCGCAGGTGACACAGCGATCGATATGCAAAGACGAGGAGCCTCCCTCCGTGAGGAGCTGGGCTCATGGGCGCAGGCAGAACTGGGCATAGAGGCCAAGGCTGTCCCAGTG